CACTTTTATCGATGCCTCTTGCCTATTGCTTAGCGTTACTATTATACTTTTCTGCAAAGTTATCTGATGATAAATACAAAAATAAAACCACCCCCACACCATTGATCGCCGATGATGCAGCTGTGAAATCCTGATCTTCCTCATTTCACAGACAGAGTAAAGGATGGTGGCTGTCTGCCAGGGGGGAGGGGCGCGGTAATGAATAATTTCAACTCCTCTAAATACAAATCCCAGACGACGATACATTATCGCCGTAAGGATGGGGGTTTACTAGCTTAGTACTTGGCTGGATATCAATGAAACTTCTTGTAACTTTTCTACGAGCATCATTAATATTCAAAGTACTAAATTAAAATTTCCATGTGAGTGCTTTGTTTGTGGTAGCTTTAGGCATGTTATATCAGAGATGACTAGGGTTCAAAATTATCCTATGTTTCAGGGTCTGGATATTTACTAGCTAAATATTTGACTGGATATCCATGAAATTTCTTGTAACTTTTCCACGAACATCATCCAAACGACTGTCTCTAGTTTGCGGTAGCTTTAGGCATATTGTAACTGAGATGACTGGGGTTTAAAATGGACCTATATAAGTTTTAGGGTCTGTACTGTCTCACGTTAACGGCCCAATACGTCACTATCGACTGGTATATCTCCCAAAGTTACTTCCATCTTGTGTGTAATTTGGAAGAGTCTGTCGTGATTTCTTTATATCGGGATTCAGGAGGTATAAGATACCTTCTACTTACGTTATCACAATTGGTGGAAATTGAATTTACTGTGCTATTGAACATCAGGGGAATAGCCCCCTGCTATATTGGCTTGTGTGTATGGGAGTTGGGAGAATAAGAATTAAACATATTGAACCTAATGGTAGGGATTTACTTAACTCAATGATAGAGATTACCAAATTCAATAAGCGGCTAACATGGTTAAACCCTAGCGGGCAGACTCATGTGGTTTGCTACCCCCCTGCTGTAGTGACAAATGGCCCAAGGGCTACAGAAACGAAGACAGTCGCCACCTTATACACCAGAAGCTAAAGGTAGGGATTTAGTTAACTCTATGAAAGGGATTACCAAATGCAATAACCGTGTAACATGGTTAAACCCTAGCGGCTAGACTGATGTGGTTTCCTATCCCCCTGCCCCCTGCTGTAGTGGCCAAGTGTGGCCCAAGGGCTACAGAAACGAAGACGAACGCCACCCAATTTACACCAGAAGCTATGGGACGGCTTTATTTAACTCAATGACAGGGATTACCAAATCCAATAACCGTGTAACATGGATAAACCCTAGTGGCTAGACTGATGTGGTTTGGTTAATCCTCCCGACTAGACGGATGCCATTCTCATGCCTGAGTGGGCGAGCGGAGGCATCCCCGGACTTACCTACACAACTCATCTGCCTCGTTAAACAGCCGGATCAATGCGACCACCATTACAAATCATAGCATGCATTATGCACAACGCTGGGTATTTATAGACCGAGGCAACTTGCCAGAGCTGGGCATCGCTGGCTCCGTGGTAGGTCATTGTGGGATGATTATGTGCTGTTTTCTGATAGTATAGCACTTTTGATTCGTAGAAAACATTTACTCAAGCAACTGGATATGATTTTGGAAACGGTCAGACATTTCAGGTAGCATCCAGTAGCTTTCGTCTGTGACACTGAGTACGAAAGGTACTGCTAATGATGCTACCTGAAACGTCTGACCGTTTTCAAAATCGTGTCCAGTTACTTCAGTAACTGCTGTTTTTTTGTGCGCATCTTTGTACTGATAGTATACCACTTTTCTGATTAGCCCCACTCGATTGTAACACTATATCAAAGACAGACTTCTGCTGGCCCTTATTGTTTGTGTTTTGGGATTCATTAGGTTTTATTCTATACTATTTTTGTTCTTTGTTCAATAGTTGTTGCCATACATTGTACTATGTGTAATTGTCGTGCAATAAAGTTATAGTATCTGATTCTAGTACAAAGAGGATAAACCAGCTGCATGGATTCCCTCAAGAGCCAGACGTTTCAAATGACATCAGCATAGTTGAGAAACAGCAGATGCTCTCTGGAACGCCTGACTCTCCAGATAATTTATCCCGTTGCCAGATTTATGTTATATTACGTAAGCCTATTATGGATGGTAGCCAGTTTACTGATAGATGGCAGAAGGTTAGATCGATAAGATCAAACTTACAAATCACGAGATGCATTATGCACCAGGTTATATCTGTAGATTACAACAGATTGTAGCCTCTACCTGGGTCTTTTGCTCGCTGATCAATTATACCAAACAGTAGAGTTAAGTCAAAACTACGTACTGGCAACTGTGTAAGTTTGTGGCCGGCTAAGGCCCAGGTCATATAGCAATCTGAGAGCATTATTTGGATAGTCGTGCCTCTGTCGAGAGAAATTCTTCTGCCTTTACACGGAAAAGGTTGTCTTAGACTATTGTCGGTGGTTGGTTCTGTCACAGCCTGCCTAAACAACGTCCTAGAAGTTTGGTACTAGAGTTAAGCAGATTGGCCATCACTAGTTCGTGCTTATAAACCTGTTTTACTGACAACTCTCCAGTGTCACTGACGAAAGGTAGTGGATGCTACCTGAGAAGTCTGACCGTTTCCAAAATCATACCCAGCTGCTTGAGTAACTGTTCTTGGCAACCTATCCCCCCCCCCTCCCTGAGAAGTGCAGATCTAGTGGCCGGAAGAATTTCCGATCTTGCCAGGTCCCTGATGAATGACGTCTCGCTACTGCCAGCTCCTCAAAAACTCTACCGCATCAAAATTGTCCGATTACCTACGTTGACATTTCCCGATCCGTAACTCTTCTGGCAAATGATCCCTCCCATTTCACAGCCATTTCAGCCCCCCCCCCCTAGAGGTGCAGTACTACTGTTGGTCAGATCTTCCGATCTCGCCAGGTCCCTGATAGATGACGTCCCGCCCGGGCCAGCTCCAGTGGCGGCGTTAGCAGGCAATCAACCCATTTGTTGCCGTCCGCTGGGAGATGTTGATGGCGCTATAAACTCTGTAGTAATGACTGCAGCAGTCAGGCTGACGGGGTCCGGACACTCTCAGGACTTACACCGCGATAATATGGCACGGCAGGACAGGTTTGCACTGAGACAAACAGGCCAGGCATTCTGTACTTGTGATGGGGTTTCTGTAAGCTGTTGTGTTTGTTGATGGTGCTATAAACTCTGTAGTAATGACTGCAGCAGTCAGGCTGCCGGGGTCCGGACACTCTCAGGACTTACACCGCGATAATATAGCAGGCAGGACCATGGTGGCAGGACAGGTTTGCACTGAGACAAATACTAGTAGGCCAGGCATTCTGTAAGGCTGCTGTGTTCGTTGATGGCGCTATAAACTCCACAGTAATGACTACAGCAGTCAGGCTGACGGGGGTCCGGACACTCTCAGGACTTATACTGCGATAGTATAACATGGTAGGACAGGTTTGAACTGAGACAAACAGGCCAGGCATTCTGTACTTGTGATGGAGTTTCTGTAAGCTGTTGTGTTTGTTGATGGGCTATAAACTGCAGTAATGACTGCAGCAGTCAGGCTGCCGGGGGTACCGGACACGTTCAGGACTTAACCAGCGATAACATGTCACAAGAATTACTTAGCCTGTAGCACAAAAATTCTGTACCTGTGAGGGATTTCATGAGAGTCTGTTGATGGCACTTTAAACTCATCAATAGCAGTCAGGCTGACGGAGGTCTGGACACTCTCAGAACTAATCCGGCCAGACCCCACAGGACCTATATGTCCAGCGATAAGATGACACGGCAGAAAAGGTTTGCACGAGCAGCTTCTGAAGCAGGTCAGGCGTTTTGTACTTCTGAGAAATTTTTCTTATGCCGGTCAGGCGTTACGCGATGTTTCTAAGTTCCTGCCAGACATTAATGGGTTATACACTCACTGAAGATGCCGGGGATGTATCTAGACGTACATTTAACAGCCCATAGCACAGATCTGCAGTGAGTGGAACAGGCCATAGATTTTACTTCTAAGAGGTAACGCCAGGCTGCAGCGTTAGGTAATGGCTGTAGGATTGCCGTGCTTTCAGTTTTACCGCATACCTCGTCAGGCTTGAATGGCCAGCTAACTGCACCGCTGGCAACTTTTGAAATGATAATCATCAAGGTAACTCCTTTCACGTTACAAACCCCATATAGTTTGTTACTTATGCATCATTATGTACGGTTCTGCATCTACAGTAATCTTTTGAAGTGTTGTATTGTGAATGATGATAAAGTTTGAATAAAAACGTGAAAAAAAAACGTGCCTAGTCAGGCATGAATGACCATCGAACCGCACCACTGGGTCCTGTATGATGTATGAAAGGCTGTCTGACAGATATATGTCTGCCGGGAAGTTCTACATCGGAATTTCGGGTTTGCAGCGGCTTTCTCTGAATGTCAATATCGCTACATATCGGGAAATGTGGCGAAATCGCTTCGTGTTTCCATTTGTATCCATGATGTGCTACACGTGATGCGATTTTTACAGGCTTCTGAAAGGTTTGAGAATCGAGCTTCCATTCCGGTATGACGGTGGCATTTTTCTGCCTGGACCTGTCAGCATTTTTATGATGTTACTGCGAGTGTTACTGCAATATTTTATAATTGTATTCCGATAGCTTAGACGGTATGTTGGGGTGTGACACCACTAGAAAGAGGGTAAGGCTACCGATTATCACTGAAAGCTTCCTTTCACAGGATCGCTGAGCGACCAAAATTGGATTTGTGTGAGACTTGATTTTATCACCGTAATAGGATTCAAGATGTAGAGGTATTGTCAAACAGACAACAAAACGAGAAACTTTGGGTCTTTATCTATAGAATTCGATGAGCAAACTGTTATATTGTTGGTCGCTCAGCCTCTCTAATGGGAATGGTGTCTACGAAAACACAGCTGTAGGGCTATAACCATTGGATTTCTTTTGCCCTGTGATTCTTATCATTAACCAGATTTTTCCTTTCGTTTTCAGGACGAATGAGTGACGAGAAATGACGTTGCTAGGATGGTCCTGCTGGGAAGATGATGAAGGCATCGCTCGGGATCCAGTCCGCGTTTCTCTGCCTTGCCATGATCGCTAGCGCCGCCCGATCCGAACCAGCCGACACCACCACGACAAACCCAGGACACACTCCCGATCCAGCCCCGACCAGACCAGTCGTGAGGGTTAACACGACTTCACGGAGACTTGTGTTGGGTGGAAACAACATGGATGTAACGACAGAAGTCGTGACTAGGCCGTATCCTTACGGGACGACGCAGCACAGGAAAAGGCACACTATGCACTCAGTCAGAAGCCTTCCACGGACGGATTTAGAACGGCAACTTGCACAGAACATGGATAGGAAAGACTCAGTACGAAATGCTGTAGGAGAAAAGCTCGCGATGCCTCGACATGTGGGTAACACAAACAGCACCCACTTCGTCAAAAGAACTACCAGAGAACCGCAAAGCCTTAAGACGACCGATATTCCTGTAAGGAATTCTACTTTTCTTAGCAGCACCCTTGCAAGACTGCAGAGCGGAGGCGTTAAAACGTCTTCTTCTATCTGCCCTGAGTTTTGTTGCTTTATGAACGTGTCTTGTCACTATACCTACGACATCCACCTGAAGCCTAAGTGCGGGTGTGCGGACGCGGGCGTGGCCGATAACGATACAAACACGTGTAAAGTACCGGGGAACTCCGACATGAACTGGATGTCTGTCTTAGAGCGGCCGCCGCAGGTACAGGGAACATGTATGGGCTCTGTAACCAAGCGGAGTTCGGATAACGCCACGGGGCTGAAGCTACACTGTCACATCGACCAGGTGCAGGATTTTACCTACACCGTGCTGCATTGGAATGTGAGCCCGCCTGGGGGCGCTTTTCCGTTCCGCCCGTGCATTATGTTTGTGTACGTGAACAACACGGAGCCGCCGCATTACGTGAAGACCACGGTGGACATCGTGATCCAGTACTTCGGCTTCGGTTTGATCTTTCTGTTCATCGGAGTCATCATGAGTTCCTGTAAGAACATCAAGGCCTGACTGAAAGTTTTCGAAAATCTATCATACAGCGAAAATTGACGGAAGTTTTCGTACACAGAGATGTATTATAACACAAAACACTGACTGTACGTACTTTTTGTACACGAAAATAAGATGTATAATACACGAGAAAAACTGACTGTAGAGTAGTTTTGAAGACAATGTGGATCTCTGTTGTTGCCTTAAAAACAAATACTCCAACATAAAGCACGTGGTGGTGGCTCACTTGGAGGTTCAACGACACTAGTACTTGCCACCAACAGTAGAGGCAAAATGTCGCCTTCGCACTCTACTATCAGGACACTGGAATTTCAATATTCCCTGTACTTCCAATGCGTTTGTTTGAGCCTTTGGTTATCCATAAAATACTCAAATCGGCCTGCTGGTTGCTTTCCATTGAGGTCATGGGGGAAGAGGTAAGGGCCAGAAGACAAAATATACAACAAGATACAGGTTACATTATAAGGTTACGTAACAAATTTATCTTGTCGCCTACCGAACAATTAGTCGATTCTTTTGTCAGTTTTGAGTCAATGTATTCTCTCAGAATTCGGAAATATACTCAAGGAGGCCCTTGATATACCGACGACAATTATTGCTTATTCTTTGCCAAAACTGTCTGTTATTACCAAAGTTTGAGACAGTAAAGACTGAATGGACCAATATGCACGGTGAAGAAACACTGAGAAACGATTCGATATATTGTTGGTAGTAGACTACATGTCTGATGCGTTTATCAACCCAAATGTTGGACGGAGAATTTAATCATCGATCCATCATTCGTTTTACTTTCCATGCTTCAACTGTACCTTTAGAACTTTACAGAATCAATATGGATGGATTCTCTGGAGAGTCAAAAGTTTTCATCAGTCACGATGATGGATGGTGGGTGATACATGGACAAGACTGTTTATAATTCTGTTGGACTTTATAAAGTTTACAAAGTAAATATGACAAATTTAAGTTTTGGATGCATGGCTCCGGCTGAGGAAACCTCAATTACAAAGCACATTGCTGGTGTGGTTACCGTACAAAGTTACTTTATCAGTGATTTTCTTCCTTGTCCTTGTTCCCTTCTTCCTTGTTCACGCAGCCTTTGTGACAAACCTTTTTACTATTTGGTTGGACTCTATCTCTGTACTTAAATCATCTCAAAGCCCATAAAACAACAAAAAACGACGAATTTCAGGTGGTTCATGACTCTGAAACAAGAAGTCCTAGTGTCCAACTCATTTGGAAGTTCTCAGAGTGCCTCCACAGACCATGTAAATAAAAGATGTGCCTCCAGGTGGGGATGAAGCCGTACTTTGGCGGATTTAGCGGAAACCCGGCCGACATACAGTCTAATTAACCTCCACAGCTCTCCACAGACCCGGCGGGAACCGGCAAACTCACGGGGGAAATAAACCCGCCGATCCGTCATGGTTTACCCCAAATCACCTCCCCACGGGCAAATCCGGGGTATAGATGTATGCCACCCGAGGGAGGCCGAATGGGACCCGAGGGAAGCCGAATGGGACCCGAGGGATGCCGGAGTTTGCCGAAGGTTTGCCGGGAGTACCGAGGCGGGTGTTTGTCACTGTCGAGTTTGTGTGGGGGGAGTTAGGCCCGGAAGGGAGAGGGATTGATCGCTACTAAACTTGTGTACATTTATCTTTTTTATTGATTTAACACTGCAAACTTCAAACTTACATAGAAAGGGGGAGGGAGAGGGAGGAACTTGAAAAAAATGCGACCGCTTCTGGGAGAATCCGCCCCCGCCCATATATGGAAACAATCTGACTCCTCACCTAGGATTAAAGATGGCGTCAACCTGTCTTTCCAACAAAAGTACGTTTCTTGTGAATCATTTTTTTTTACAAAAAAAAAACGAATAAATTTACAAATACATAGATGTTCGTACCGCTATAGACATAGAGATTTTCAGTGTATCACATCAGAATCTCAAAAGAAATCTTTCTCATTTTGTGAAAAGGTGTGTATGAGAGACTGCCCTACGGCTGAGAGCTACGGGACTGATCATGAGTGAGTGGCTGAGATTTCATAAAGCTTATTGATCTTTAAGTACGCCAGATGAGCCGGCTGGTGTTAGTTATAGCCACAAGGTAAAACACGTGTGTACTCGTACCCAGTAGAGACTTATGTAAACAGGAATAAAAACTGTTCAATCACTGTCATTAATGCCGGGGGAAGTGGATTCTAGTCATCTGCATTTTCTGTTCTGCAAACACATGTGGCATGTAAACCCCGTGTGTACTCGAACCCAGTAGACTACTGTACACAGAAATACGAACTGTTCTATCACTGTCACTTATACCAGGGGGAGTTGTATTCTCGAGCACACTTTTGTTTCTTTTGCCTTCTGAAATGCCTTCGATGTGTTACAGTAACACCATCATTATCCTAGGATGACTCTCGTGTACATGTATCCAGTACACACTTATAAAAACAGAAATAAAAACCGCTCAATCACTGTTTGGAGTGTTTGGGGGGTCTACGTTCAATTACGTTCCAGAGTACACCATATTTGTAGTGAGTCGCACCTAGAAGACTAATGTAAACAGGAATAATAAAAACATTTCCATTGCTGTCACTAATGCAGGGTAGGTGGATTCTAGTCATCTACATTTTGTTCTGCATGTGATGTGTTCGAGATCGAGAAACAACAGCAGTAGACTGGTTTATTATTAAGCAAGAACATAGGAGCAATGACAAGCCGTGATGGCTGAATTGAGAGGCTTATTCGACAAAACTTGACACCGGTGTCCGCCCCCCCCCCCCCGGCTCTGAGCGTCAGTCGGTAAATTGGGACAGAGTCGCCCCAAACACACCAAGATGGATGCCTCCTAACGGTGTCGTAAACATTTCACTCCCCCCGCGAGTTTGTGCCCGGGTGTGCCGGCTGACCACCCACCCCCCCCATGGTTCAGCGTCGGTAGCCTCTTCCAGGCTTTGGGATGCGGATAGAAAGAGTAGAAATTGGCCAAATGGAGAGATAACATGCCGGGGGAGTTGTCCGCTAGAACGTACATTTGCCGCACCCACGGCGTGTATCTCACATGTATCTCGCCAATTTCTACTCTTGCAGTCCGTCTCCCGAAGCCTGGTAGAGGCAGGCCAAACGCGCGGAGATGGATGGCTCCTACAGGTGTCGTAAACATTTCCCTCCCCCTGCGAGTTTGTGCCCCTGTGTGCCGGCTGACATTTCGCCCCCATGGCTCAGCGTCAGAAGACGTCGGAGCTGATGATGATCGATACAGACTCCGGACAGAGAAAATGGCGAGGTGATGGAGACTGATGTCGTAATCAGTAACTGTGAAGGGCGAGGGGAGGGGGGGGGGCATCATTTCCATAACCGTACAGGGAAAATCACAATAATAGGACTTAGGAATCTTATAGCATGGACATTCAATAAAGCAGAAACTATCTTGACCATGACCTTTTAACAAAGTGACCTCTGACCCCTCAGTGCCACATGCTAACCTAAGGCGATGGGATATCGTTTCAAGAATCGTGTAGGGGAAAGGGTAGTAATAGGGCTTGGCATCTTGGGAGCTATGTCAGAAAAAAAGTTGTCAAAAAAAGAATCTACCTGTGAGACCATGAAAAATACACATATTGCAAGGGTACTCCAAACTCAAATGTATCCATTTAGTCCATAAGGAGAAAATCCGATACAGAAGCGGAATGAGGCAGCGATGCAGAGTGAGTGATATCGTAATCAGAAACTGTGAAGGGCAAAGGGGGAGGGGGAGGTCGTGAATTCCCCAACAGGACTTAAGGCACATAAAATAAAGCAAGATAACTTGTAACTTAGAACACTTTGAACTTCTGGCTTCTGGGTCACAAGAGTGTGGTATGGTCGTTTGAATAAGCATCCTCAGCAGGCAATGAGACAAGGCATAAAAGAAACCATGTACAACCAGAAAAACACAGGCCATGGTTTACTGTTTTAGCATATGAATGTGACTATCCCTGCACATTTAACACGTGTATTAGCTATAGATCCCAGCCTGTTGCGCGTAAGTAATCTGATTATCGTGGGAAAGATTGACTTACTTACAAGTTACATGACTTACATGTATGTGGAGTAAAGCTACATTCTGAATTAACATCTTTCTTAACGGCAACTGGCTAGATGCTCGTTAGATCATTTGTAAATTGATTGTTATTGTCATCATTGGTTATCATAAAAATCATTACCATATCCACAGCTTTGCCTTTCTTGCCCCGTCATACGGTATAGCCCGCCATTCCTATGAACCTACTACTCAATATAAAGGTAATATGTATAACACTTCTGTTAACTGCACATAAGAGTAGGTATGCTTTTTCGCGTCCTGTCATAAGGTAATACCCCGCACTTCCCCTGCGAACCTACAGAACAACCCCTGTCATCCCGGCGTAACGGCGGCGTTTCCGCCAAACGGCAGGATTGGATTTTCCCACTCCTGACAAATTTACCTCCGCGTCAGCCTTCAATAAAACCTCCGCCGCTGATCCTTCGTAAAACAAACGGGGTGGAAAACGGGCCGGGATCGACTTTTATAGCGGGGATATGGATAGGGACGTGTGGGGATGTATGTGTCAATAGCCTGACAGATGCTGCTGCATTGCGATAGTGTAGGGTATGCTGTATTGAAGATGGCAGATCTGCAGTAGCAAATTGAAGCAAGTTGTGTTACTAGTACGTCCTGCTAAATTCAGCTGTGCTGTTATATAACGTACTGCCTGCGATCGACTTTTACAGCCGGGATACGGATGGAGACGTGTGGTGATGTATGTGTGAATAGCCTGACAGATGCTGCTGTATTGCTTTAGTGCAGGGAAAACTGCATTGGAGATGGCAGATCTGCAGTAGCAAATTGAAGCAATTCGTGGGGCAGTTGTGAACACTAGTACGTCCTGCTGAATTCAGCTGTACTGTTACATGTATATATTGTATATATGTATAACGTACTGCCTTAGATCGACTTTTACAGCGGGGATATGGATACAGACGTGTGGTGATCTATGTGTCAATAGCCTGACAGATGCTGCTGCATTGCTTTAGTGCAGGGAAAACTGCATTGGAGATGGCAGATCT